AAATAGAGCAGTGAGTGGTTTGTTTTGACTGAAATTGTAAAACGAATGCCAATATTGTTCATGGAAATAAATACTGGTGTATATGGCTTTATGCAATCTTTCATTCTGTCATTGTACATGTACTATTATATACTACACAGCAATGGCATAACACGCCCATGTGTACGACAACAAAAGTCCACACACAACCTTATGCTTTTGAAATCAGAATATTCTTTACCCATCCAAACATGAATAATCACGACACATTTGATATCAACTCGGAACTTTATTGTCAAAATCAACGGTTCTTTGAACCCATAAAAAAAAACTAAATGTACTTGTATTTTGTATAAATGACACTAAATATATTTTTTAATGATTTCAGGCGTCACAGGTATCTAGCCTACAGAAGCTTTGTGAGCTGGTGCTGGGGCTTCCTTGGACGCAGGATCAGAGTGGTGATTCCGGCCTGCGTTGTCCTCAAGGAGGCAGGAGTTTCCTGATCCGCAAAATGTCGATGTTGGGTTCAGACAGCAGCCAAATTGAACCGTGTAGCATACCCGGAGATGACCTCCTCCCTGTCAGGTCGCTCATAATGGTGCAGGGTCCACAAAGACTTGGTCGAAGATGAGGTCCATCAAGTTGGCCACGTAGCCTGTGCAATGTTAAAAAAAAAGCACAACAAAAAATGTGGTTTAGATTAGTATATGCATGTAAAAAACTGAAAGTTCTTTCAAATGTTTTTATTTTATATTTGTAAATAGTTGTATAATAAATATTTTAAACACTTACGGAATGTGGGGTCAGTCTTTACTGGTTTTGCTCTGCATTCTCCCTTCCTGGCCTTTGGGAACTGCAGTTTATACAGAGGGTTTCCAGTGGATGTTGGCTTGTGCACGCTCAGCGTTTTCATTGTAGTGCAGGGCTGCCAGGTACAGTCTTTCATTTCCGCCATGATAAAAAAAAAAAGTAAATAATAGCAAAGGATGTACAAATTGTCACTAATTAGTAAGTATGTGAGGTGCTGGCCTGTAAAGAAGAAAACATAGTTAGAACAAAATCATCTCAATTTAGTATTCAGGATCAGAAAATACTATTTGGATAAATATTGTCTGAAATCCCAAAAGATGGGGCTTAAAACTCTCTATTTAGCAAAGCTCTTTGCTTAGCCTTTCCAATCTGAGTTAGTTTTGAACCGTAACGTGCATGCTGTGTTTCTGACTCAATACAGATGATGTGTTGGAGAGGGGCTGAGCTCAGTAGACTGACTGTAATGAGTGCTAGCCACTAATTAGCCTGTTGCTAGGTAAGGCCTCGTCAACAACAACAGACCAACGGGGCTTTAGCTCCGTTTTACTCGTGGTGTGTGTCCCCCCTCGCATACACACAGTGTTGTATCCGAACACACCCCCATTTATATTCATGTGCGTAAACAAGTAAACATACAAAAGCTTTTACATATAACGCTGCAAAAAACGGCATGTCTCATTAGCGTAGCGTAGCTTAGCTTACAGATCTGATCGTTCTTACAGACTACAATCACAAAAGCTTTTACATATAACGCTGGAAAAAACGGCACTTACCTACAGAAGATTACGTTTGTTATTATAACTTACTCAATATGATTTTAGAGGATACAAAATACTAATAAATAGGAGAATAAATACTTGTGTTATCGGCTAGGGCGTGGCTTTACAGCCTTCACACAGATCGCCATTACGGCAGTATGTCTGAACATGTTAGCAAATGCCTGATAATTAAAATAAAAGACAAAGCAAAGACTGCGGAGCGTACAATATAAAATGTTATAAAAACATATAAACACCTAACCGATTACTATTTGGGTTTGAGGCGACATTGATACGGCGAAGCTACATGCTACATGCAACATACTACAAGCTAGAGATAGCTTTATCAGGAAAAACACCGCTAAATAAAAACGTACAGCTTCAAAATTGGATGTGTCCTCACTGGCCTGCTCCCGGATGGTTGGTATTGATCCCGGGTTTAGCATTAGTTTGGAGGCATATCCGTGTTGGACTTGAGAGAAGTTCATAAACATGTCCGTCGTAAAATGTTTGGAACACAGTCACACCAACAGAAATCTGCCGTGGTCTTCTGGCACATGTCCCTTGAAAATGAAGTCTAGCCACAGATTATTTTCTTTTTCCACTGATGGCATTGCATGCAGTCCCCTTTCTCGAGTCTTGCAGCCAACAACAGCACAACGTTTAACTGGCTTAGACATCCTGGCAAGAGCAGGCAAAAACACAGATGTGACTGGAGTTGATTTAGCCTGCTGATAGCCTATATGCGAATGAGAGGTTTGGCAATGCACGTGGCCGTGGCTCATTCCCCTGATAGGTGGAGAGTTGACCAATAAGCGGAGCACGTCTTTGTGACGTAGAAAATAAGTGAAATCTGGATCCGTTTTTTTCAGATCCGTTGCAGCCCCTTTTTTAGAGATTTGGCTAAGGAGGAAAATAGAGAGGGTTGTGTTTTCTGACACTTGGTGAGTTCCCTGGAACACCGGGGACACATATTCATGTATAAAGACGTACAAAGGTGCATTTTGCATGATAGGTCCCCTTTAAGTAAAACCTGCACCAAAAAAAGAAATTAGTATTTAAAGCCAAGCAAGAGCGATAAAAGCAAGAAAATCACTTAATTTGTTGTGTTATCACAGAGGATGGTCTGAATACAGTATTTTACTGTGAAATAA